CCAGGTGTGCTAATTTGGCAGCTGTTTGGAGGGTAGGTGATTGAGACACTGGGAGGGGAGAGACCAATTAGGAAGGCCAGAACAAGGGTCCTGTGAATGGGGGAGACAAGTGGGGTATGTGGTGGAGCTCTGTTCAATGAGACCTGGCAACTGGATGGCCGTGCGTAAGGGGAGGGAGGAGCCAAGAATGACTTTGAGTTTGTGTATCTAAGTACCCGGGAGCAGGAAAGAAACAAGGAAGTCAGGAGGAGAACATAATGAGTGCCTCTGGGGACACAGTGAGTTGGAGATAAATGACCATAGAACATCCAGGAAGAAGAGCCAATGGGCATTTGGCCACGTGAGACTGGAGCTCAGGGGAGAGACGTGGGCTGGATACATAGATTAAAGGGATAACTTAACCCACAGAAGCTGTGAAATCAAGAGAAGGCAAATTGAGAGAGAAGAAGACAGGAGCTACCATGACTACAGAACAGGACGGGGATGATGAACCAGCAAAGGAGAGTGAGCTAGAGCCATCACAGAGATAGGAGAATCAGAAAAGCACAGTTACCACAAAATTCCAGGGAGCAGAGTGCATCCGCAAGAGCAGGGAAGAGTCAAGTGTCAAAAGCATCAAAAAAACCTTTAAAAGAAAAGAAAAATTAAGTGATGGAAGTGGACAAGCAAGGAGGAATGGAATGATTAGAGATCACAATAAGCAAGGCAGATGAGGAGGAGCACAAAAGGTTGGGGTCTGCGAAGAACTGTGGAGTTCTGGACAATGGAGATGGAAGAATCATGGATGAGCTCGGGGAATGGCCATCCCTCTGAGTTTAGCTAACATATAATATGATGACAATAATAACATAGAGTGAATGTGCAGGTCTTGGGAGCTGAGGAAGATGATGAACTGGGAGGCCAGGATGGGACAGCGAGACTCAGCATGGGCAGAAACTGGCCAAGAAAGCTAAGGGAAATGGGACTTTTTGTCGGTGTTTTAGGTGGTTTTGGGGAATTGTTTCGTTTTAGTTACATTTAAGAGAAAGAAATCCAGAAAGGGGTAGCAGGATTGATGTCTGCAGTGAATGAGACTGATGGTAACTAAGGGAGGACTGATCAGTTTTTTTGTTGTGCTTTTGTAATTTCTGCCAAGGTGAATGACCCGAGAACAGGAAACAAGAGAAGAGAAATCAATGATAGGGAGTAGTTAGCAGAGATGAGTAAGGAGACAAGAAAAGATGGCTTAGCTGCCCTGGATGAGGTCAAGCCTCTCGGGCTCAGGCGAGCACCATCCCAGAGGCTGGTCAGACAATGACATTGGAGAGATCGAGGAGGACAGGAGAGGAGCCCTAAGACGAGCGATGGGCACATATCAAGAAAGGGAAGAGGATATGTCTGCACACTCCAGGCCACTGAGCTGGCAAAAATATGGAGTGGATTATTAAAGAAAGGGTGACTATGAAGAGGGGAAGCAACGATCCCAGAGTGGGCATGGCTTCATCAAGAACAGGCCACATCACACTAACCTTCTTCCCCTTTTTCACAGGGTTATTAGCCTGGTGGGCCAGGGGAAATGTTCTACAGGTTTTATCGAAACAATCCATGAAAGCATCTCATACTGTTCTTATGGAAAAGACCTGAAGATGTGGGCTAGACGATAATACAATCAGACAGAGTCAGAACTGGTTGGACGGTCAGCTTTGAAGAAGAGTTATATTAAATGTCTGACGTCAACCTGGAAGGAGGCTTTCAGTGGACAGCCCTAGGAATCTACACGTGCCTGGGGCTGTTTAACATTTTTGTCAATGAGCACAGATAATACGCTCATCAAACTTGTAGAAGATACAAAGCCTGAGGGACAGTTAACACATTCGATGACAATCAGGATTCAAAAGAGATCCTGACATGCTAGAACACTGGCTAATCTAGTAGATTAATCTAATGAAATGGAATTTAATAGGGATAAATGTAAATTCTTACACTTTGGTTCAAAAGATGGACTTTACAAATACAAGATGGGGAGAGGAGACAGACAACAATTCATTTGAAAAGGATCTGAAAGTCTCATAAACTGCAAACTCAATGAAAACCAGCCCAAGCACTATGGCAGCCAAAAAAATCATGTGACACTGGACAGCAGAAAGGCAGGAGGCCCAGGTTCTAGGAAGAGGGAGGCCATCATCTCATTGTACTCTTGCCCAGGTCAGACTATCTCTGGAGCCCTGGATGCAGCTCTGGGCACCACATTTTATTTTATTTTATTATTTTTATTGATTTATTTTGATTTAATCAACAATCACTTCCATAACCTTTTGAGTTTTAAATTTTTCTCCCCCTCCCTCCCCAAGATGACACGCAATCTGATATAGGTTATACATATACATTCCTATTAAACATATTTTCACATTAGTGATGTTGTAAAGAAGAATTAGAACCAACAGGAGGAACCACCAGAAAAAGAAAACAAAACAGAAGAAAAAATAGCAAATAGTATGCTTCAATCAGCATTCAAACTCCATAGTTCTTTCTTTGGATGTGGATAGCGTTTTCCATCATAATACCTTTGGAGATGTCTTAGATCCTTGCATTGCTGAGAAGGGCTAAGTCTGTCAAAGTTAGTCATCATACTATGTGGCTGTTACCGTGTACAACGTTCTCCTGATTCTGCTCACTTCACTTAACATCAGACCATACAAGTCTTTCCAGGTTTTTCTGAAGTCTACCTGCTCATCATTTCTTATAGCACAATAGTATTCCATTAAATTCATATACCACAACTTGCTCAGCCCAAATGAGGGCATCCCCTCAATTTCTAATTCTTTGCCACCACAAAAAGAGCTGCCATAAATATTTTTGTACATGTGGGTCCTTCTCCCATTTGTACGATCCCTTTGGGATACAGCCCTAGAAGTGCTGTCTGGGTCAAGGGGTATGCACATTTTTATATGGGCACCACATTTTAGAAGAGACACTGATGAGTCAGAGACATCAAAAGGAGAGCAGCTGGGACCGTGAAAGGGCTTGAGATCCATGGCATTTAAGCTGAAGGACAGGACTGAGGGCATTCAGCTAAGGGAAGACTCGGGCTCACAGGAGTTGCATCCAAACATGTAAAGGTCTGTCAAGTGGAAGAGGGATTTAACCTTGTTCAATTTTGCCCCACAGGGCAAAGCAGGAGCAAAGAGAGGAAGCTGCCAAGAGTCAGATTTAGGCCTTTGTTGTTCATTCAAGCCCGACTCTTCCTGACCCCATTTGGGGTTTTCTTGGCAGAGATACTGGAGTGGTTTGCCCTTTCCTTCTCCAGCTCATTTTACAGATGAGGAAACCGAGACAAACAGGGTTAAGTGACTTGCCCAGGGTCACACCCCTAGTCAGTGTTTCAGGTCTTCCTGATTCCAAGCCCCATGCTCTATCCACACTGCCACCTAGCTGCCTAATGTCAGGAAAAACTTCCTAAAAATTATACTCATCTAAAAGTGGAATGGGCTCCCTTATTTGAGGGCTTAGGAAGATGCTAGATGATCATTCGGGGGTGATGTTGTAAAGGTGATTCTTTATGACAGATGGGTTGGACCAGATGGCTGTTGAGAGCCTTTCCAACTTTAAATTCTGAGAGCAGACCAACCTACTCATTTTATAGATGAGGAAACTGAGGCCATGAGGCTGACACAGAGAGCCTGAGAATCCAGGGATCCTGAGTCTTATCCAATTGCCTTTCCGAATAAACTCATGGCTAACTGATCACTAGATTGACGGTGCCGAGCTAATGTTCTGAGCCCTGACTGCTCTTCAGCAGAGCTCACAGGTAAAGACACATCTGATGGGCTTAACAAGGTCAAAACCTCCTTGGGGGAGAGACATTTATGTGCCTCCTCCAGAGTACCTAGAACAGGGTTGGCCCACCTCTGACACAGAGGGGCCAACTAAAAAAAAAAAAAAACTGCTAAACTGAATTTAGTTAAGGACTTACAAGGAAACAACAGTGAAGTTACTTCAGTCCTTGGGTATGGTTATCAAAGCAAAGATGAGGCACAAGCTTAGTTACTGGGGAAACTTCTTATATGTAAAATCAATTTTTAACATTCTTTTTTAAAATTTTGAGTTCCAAATTCTCTTCTTCCCTCCCCCTCCCTGAGATGGTAAGCAATTTGATATAGGTTATATATGTGCAGTCATGCAAAACATATTTACATTAGCCACGTTGTGAAAGAAAACACACACAAAAAAGAAAGTAAAAAAAAAAACAAAACAGGCTCCAATCTGCATTCAGATTCCATCAATTCTTTCTCTAGAGGTGGATAGCATTTTTCATCTTAAGTCCTTGGGAATTATTTTGGATCATCGTATTGCTAAGAATAGCTAAGTCATTTACAGTTGATCATCTTACAACATTGCTGTTACTGTGCACATCAGGGGTGGGGAACCTACGGCCCTGAGACCACGTGTGGCCCTCCAAGTCCTCAAGTGCAGCCCTTTGACTGAATCCAAACTTCACAGAACAAATCCCCTTAATAAAAAGATTTGTTCTGTAAAACTTGAACTCAGTCAAAAGACTGCACCCAAGGACCTAGAAGGCCACGTGTGGCCTCGAGGCCGCAGGTTCTCAACCCCTGGTGTATGCTGTTCTAGTTTTGCTCATTTCATTTTGCATCAGTTCATTTAAGTCTTCGCAGGTTTTTCTGAAAGCACTCTGCCAGGATTTTTCTGACCTTCATTATCAGAAAATCAAAACCATTCTCCCACCTCCCTCCTTCAGACCTTGTTCCAATATCTTGACATCTGATTTCAATATCTTGATATCCAACACTATCATCTTTGAAATTCAATTGTCTGATCACATCCACCTATCCTTCCTCTTCTCCATCCACAACCATTCATGTTTTCACCTGATGTTTAATAATATATGAGCCAAACATATTCTTCCAACCTCAATCCATCTTCCCTACTCTGACAGCACTTGCCCCCACTCATGAGGCATCATGGGGATGGGATAGCAGTGGTGGAGGAGGAGCAGGTACTCACCGTGTGGTCATGACAATCACCAGAACTCTCTGCTCCCAGACCATGAGCCAAAAGTCATGGTAGGTGTTCTCCAAGGGACCTAAAGTGATAGAAGAGGAGACGGTATGTGATACAAGAAAACATTTCTTGGGGCAGGTAGGTGGCACAGTGGATAGAGCACTGGCCCTGAAGTCAGGAAGACCTGAGTTCAAATCCGATCTCAGACACATAACACTCACTAGCTGTGTGACCCTGGGCAAGTCACTTAACCCCAATTGCCTAACCAAAAAAATAAATAGATAAATAAATAAGAAAACATTTCTTTCCTTCTCTCCTCTTTCTTCTTCCATGCCCTAACTAACTATGGGATCTATATTAGCCTTCTGCTCTTTGGTCACCAGGTTCTTCTTCCTGAAGAATTCATCCATGGTTATAGTTCCAATGATCACTCCTATGATGATTTACCAATCCACTTGGCCGGTCCTTCCCTCTCAGCTAAGCCCCAGTCCCACATAACCATCCTGGATGACTTAGCATCATCTCAAACTCAAAAACAGAACTAATTCTTCTCCCTGCCTCTCTTCCTTCCCTGTCCCTCCCACGCAGACAGCCCTCTCCAGATCTTCATGACAATCTCCTGACCACCTCCCCAGACAGAAATGTTGATTCTTTCTCCTCCCTTTCATCTTTCCTTCCCTCCAATAGCCAGGCAGTTAACAAATCCTGTCAACTTCTTTGAAAAGAAGTTTCTCTCCTTCCCTTTACATATCCTCTACTACCAATCTAATTCAGGTTCTCTTCTCATCTGCCTCCTGGTTGACCTCTGATTGCAGTCTCTCTCCAATCCACCCCACACACCACCCAGAAGTAGCAGTGGCAGTGGAAAGAGAAATGGATTTATCGTTAGAGAACCTGGGTTCAAATCCAACTTCTGCCAAGTCCTCCTTGTGGGAACACCTTTCTGGGCCTCAGTTTCTACATCTATAAAAGAAGTGGGGGGAGAGGGGTGGCAGACCCGATGCCCTCTGAGGTCCCTTCTAGCTCCAAATCTATGTTTCAAGGATAAATGGTTATAATGTTCCTAAAGCAATGCACCTGTCCTGCCATTTTCTTGCTAAAAATCATGACTGGCTCTCTCTGTTCTGTGTCAAATCTGCTCTCTTCTGCCTGGCTTTACAGGCCCTCCATCATGTAATCTGAGCCCACCCATCTTATTTCCCCAGACTCCCTGAGATGTACACTGCGCTTACGTTGGGCTGATTCCTCAGTGTCGCACAAATATGCTGTCCTCAGACTCAATCTCCCCCTCATCTTTGCTTAGATCTTTTCCCCTACGTTGAATGTCTTCCCTTCTTCCCTCTACCTGTACATCTCCAGGCCACATTTTCTTCTTGCCTATCAGCCTGCTCAAGAAGCCAGTCCATACAGAGATTCTCTGCATCCAAGAAAACGATGTGATGTCTTCTTTTGAAGGCCACACATCTGTTTATAACACTACTGTTGTTGTCACCCAATGACCCACAGATGACCAACTCAACTCTGTGACATTAGCACCTGATTCATGGTCCTTACGGCTCTTCCTCTGTGCCCTCTTGTCATCCTCAGGGCCCTTCAATACTTATGTTGATGCCCCTCTGACAACCTGACCCCACAATAATTTCCTCCATGTTCAATTCCAATGACCATCTTCTGTCTCTTCACTTTAGTCACAACACACTAGAAAGGCCATACCTTACATCTTAATCTCTGCTTTCTATCTGCAGTTTCAGGAATAAGATGCCCCTCTTAGGATAAGCTGATCATTATAAACCCCATCACCATGCTGCTGACTCAGCCTTGGATACTCAACACCTTCCCACCTCCCCCAGCCTCCTCTCCCCTCTGATTGGAGGGCTGGAGGGTAGAGCACTCAAGTTCTCCCAAAGCTTTCCTTTGTAGAGGGCTGGACTCTAGTTGACCACCCTCTTTCCATCTGTAGCTGTTTGGTTTCAACGTCACAGAACAAGATGGTGTTCCTCTGGTGTCCCCCATCCCCCTTTCCATCTTCCCCCTATTAGACTGTAAACTCCTGACAGCAAGGACAGTCTTTCTTTTTATTATTTATACCCCAATGTTTAGTATAGTGACTGGTACACATTAGGCACTTAATAAATGCTTAGTGAATTGAATTCTCATTAGGCACTTAATAAATGCTTAGTGAATTGAACATGCTATTTTCTGACCAAACCACCTGTCCTTCCACTTCTCTCCCCTGCCATCCACATTTTCACCCTCTATGTAATAATACATGACCTAGACTTCTCACAATCTCAGTCCATTTCTCCTACTCAGTTATCACGTGCCTCCACACCCACATTGGACACCAAGGCTGCCACTTTATTAGTGTTTCACCAACGACTACCCTGTAAGTCCTTGCCTCCTCATCCTTGACCCCTGAACTGTCCCCATCCACTGTTCCCAACCTGGGAAGCCTTGTCCTCAGTTCTGGGTGAGCCTTGTCATATAATTTCAATGCCTACTAAGCATCACAAGACACAGCAAAGCAACAGAACTCATTCTACCTGCCACAAACTTATGATTACTTAACCTCGGAGCTGACCCTTCACTGCTAACCATGCTCTTCTACCCTTATCAACCTCCTCATCTCACGTCTCACAGCAACTGCCCTAAATCTAAACTGCGGACCTCATTGAAAGGGGAATAGTTAGAGGAAGTAATTTAATGGAGAGGAGTTGGTCTTGAATGGATACTTTCATCAAGAGTACACCAGCATTAAAATTACTATTTTTCTATTGGCAAAAAATAATAATGATAGTAACAATAACCTAAACTTGAACTTGTATTTGTTTTACTTTGCTATGTAATTTATGGATTAATCTGTACATTGTCCCTAATGGATCCTAGCCAAAACACAGAGCGTAAGGATTGTTTTCTCCCACACTCTCTACCTGTGCCCCCTTTGTTTCCTTATCTTTTCCCCTGACCCCTTAATGTCACAGGTGTCCCCAAGGGTCTGCCATTAGCCATCTTGTCACATTTCTCTAAAATTCCTCCCTTGGCAATCTCTTTCACTCTCATGGCTTCAACTATCACTTTTTGAAAATTAATTTACTTTTTTAAAAATTCTGAACTTAACACACCAAAAACACGGGCATTTCTCCAATGCCAAATAAGGCATAAAAAGAGGACTGTATAAAATCATGAATCTCTTTCTATTCCATTATCACTTACTTCATTTTAAGTATATAATAAATTTCTCATGTTAGCTTTCAAATTCAGCTATCAGCATTATGCAAATGACTTTCAAATCAATATATTTAGTCCTGACATCTCTAATTACCTTCAGCAATATATCCAAAATTGAGTTTATTACCCTTAGACCAGCTTCTCTTCTGATTCTCTTAGGTATATCTGTCTGTGACAATGCCCCTCAATTTGTTTCCCATGTTCGAAGTTTTAGCATTAGCTTTACCCCTTCCCTCCCTCTCACCTCTCCTGTTCATTCCACCTTTGTATTTGTTTGTTGTTGTTTTTTTTTTTAATTTGGCTAGGCAATGGGGTTAAGTGACTTGCCCAGGGTCACACAGCTAGTAAGTGTTATGTGTCTGAGGCCGTATTTGAACTCAGCTCCTCCTGAATTGAGGACCAGTGCTCTATCCACTGTACCACCTAGCTGCCCCCATTCCACCTTTGTAACATGCACTCATCCCTCACATGTTGCCACCACTTCAGTCCAGGCTTCCATTACTAGCCACCTGAACTACTGAAATATCCTTACTTGGGCCATCCAATGACTTCCTAATCACTAAAGTTAATGGCCTTTTTTGCCCACCTGACTTTTCTGTAGCTTCTGTCACTGATGACCACCCTCTCTAACTGTATACTTTATTGGCCTTTGGCATCAGAGAAACTTCTCCTACAGAATCAAAGAGAAGTACATAGCACTAAGTCTTAAGGTGTGTTACAAGACATTAAGAAATAATATTGTTACAGTGTCCTGGTCTCACTTTAATTGAAGAGCTAGATAGTCCCTCTAGAATAGAAGACTTAAGCTAGGTTGGAGCCATATCCTGGAGGGCCTTCAATGCTAGGATATGGAGTTTTTCCCTTTCCCTCATAGTCAATAGGGAGCCATGGGACGTATCCAGGCAGAGAAGTCAGTTGATCAGTCTAAAGCATCAGAAAGATTTCCTGGGCAACTGAGTTAAAGATGAGTTGAAGAAGAAAAGGAACTAGAGTGAAGAAAACCAGTTAGAATGCAATTATAATAGAAGCAATGAGCACCTTAATTAAGATGGTATCATTCAGAGTAGAAAGAAGGAAAGGAATGCAATAGACAATAGAGAGGCAAAGTCAATGGAACAAGGCATATTCGAAGTAGGTGAAATAAAGGAAAGAGGTTAAAAGAGTTAAAGATGATGAGACAGAGATGTGGGGCTAGACAAGGTATAATTAGATAAATACAAAACAGGGTGAATGGTCGTACTCAGATATCAGTCACTAACGATCCCATGTGAACTCAAAAGGAGCTCACCAGGGAAGTGCTCCAGGGACTTGTGTTTGGTCCTATGGCGTTTAATATTTTTATCAATGACATCAATGGACTCAGAGAGAGACTTTGTGGCTGGGGGGACATAGAAAGGCCATGATGGCTCTCTTCCAGTATCTGAATGGCACTGATGGATAAGAAAAATTGATTAGACTTGTTTTGTTTGGCTCCGGGACATAACTAGGAGTAATGGGTAGAAGGCAAAAGAGGTCAATTTAGCTTTGACATCAGGAAAAACGTCCTAAGACAAGACCAACTCAAACATAAGACAAGTCACCTCAGGAGAGGGTGGGCTCCCCTCATTGAAGATCTTCAAGTGAAAGCTAAGTGACCACTTTGGGGCTAAAGAGAATTCTTTCTGGGTAGGAGTCAGAGGTCTCTTCCAACTCTGAAATTCTGTGATTGCTGTGACTCCAAGACCTCAAAGCGGGGTGACAACAGTATAATGCCATCAACAGGAAAAAAAAGTGGGGGGGGATCTAGAGATGAGGAGTTCTGTTTTGGACATACTAAGTTTGAAACATTGGCAAAGCATACACCAGCACAGAACT